TTTTCCTGCTGATGCTTTTCCTTTTGCTGATTCTGCTTCTCTTTCTGCTAATGCTTATTTCCCTTCTGCTGCTTATGTTGATCCTGCTGCTGCAGTTACTTCTCCTTCTTGGTCTGCTACTTTTTCATACATCATTTCTGACCTCCTTGTAACTTCACTTCTATATGGCCCTCAATGGCTACTCCAACCCTGGCTTCACCTTATGGCTGCACTTAGAACTGCTAGAGTGTCTCATTTTTTTCAATTTCAAATTACCTTCCACCTGAAAAACAAAATAAAAAGAAAAGAACATGGTGCTATTTCACGGATAGCTGGTTAACCTATGGATTAGCTCTTACATCCGGTGCTCACCTGTGGAGCAGTCAGCCATGGCACAGGCTGAAGAGAAGAAGCAGGGATCACGTGGGACAGAATGTACCATTTAGAGCCACAGGGACTGAAGGTAAACAATTCTCCTGAGAAGGAGATGGACCTGAGTGGTAGTGATTGTCTCCTTTTCTAGAAGTGGATTAAGGAGTGAGCGAGCAATAAGGCAATAATGTAGAGTAAGTTACTCTTTGTAGGAAGCTTGATGAAAAGACTTGAGAGGACATGGAAGAGAGTTAAGTAGCAATGTGGAATATTCCTATTCAGACAAGAGGGAAAGAATGGAGACAAGTAAGAGAGAGAAGAACAGAGGGAGCAAAGTTTCTAGCAAATGAGAATTGAAAGGTTGAACACAGTTGAAGCTGTGACACCAAATCCTTTGAAACTAGTAGAAAGGAGGGAAAGTTGGCATGTTCCAGTTTCATGATGCTATTGAGGTATTTTATTATTTTTTTCCTTTCTGTTGCAGGTCCTGAATCTGTGCCTCCTTCCCTTCTCAAAGTTGTGATGAAACCCATAGCAACTGTTGGAGAAAGCTACCAGTATCCTCCTGTGAACTGGGCTGCACTCCTCTCTCCACTTATGAGGCTAAACTTTGGTAAATATCATGTTTTTAGGTCTTCAGACTCTGCTTTTAGGATGTGACCTGAATAGAAAATTGTGTGTCACAATTGGTAGTGACTGGATGGACGTCTGGGTACTTGAGGTTTGTCTTCTTGGATGGGACAGCTGGGTTACTTTCATTGAGTCACTTTCTAAATAGCTGAGGGGGAGGGGAAGGAGGTTTGGAGACACAGACCAGATACACTCATCAAAACAATACTCGACTGAGATGGTGCATGTCGCTGGGCGTGTGGTGCAGGTCCCAGAAAGCCTGGTTTGATGGTTATCAAGCTGCATTTTGAGAACTCCAGGTTTCAAGGAAATGCCCTATGGGATGCTGTATTAGTTTGCTATTACTGCTGTAACAAATTATCACAGACTTAGTGGCTTGAAACAACACAAATTTATTATCTTATAGTTTTGTAGGTCAGAAGTCCAACATGGTTCTCACTGGGCTAAGATCAAGATATCAGCAGAACAGCATTCCTTCCTAGTTGCCCAGGGGAATGATGTGGCCTGAATGTTTGTGTTCCCTGAAAATTCATGTTGAGAACCTAAACTTCAATGTGATGGTATTAGAGGGTGGGGCCTTTGAGGGTGATTAGGTAATGAGGGTGGAGCCCTCATGAATGGGATTACTGCCCTTATAAAAGAGGCCCCACAGAGCTCCCCAGTCCCTTCCACAGTGTGAGGACACAGCAAGAAATCAGCAGTCTGCAACCTAGAAAAGGGCTTTCACCGGAACCCAACCATGTTGGCACCCTGGTCTTGGACTTCCAGCCATCAGAACTGTGAGAAATAAATTCCTGTAGTGTTTCATTTTAACAGTCCAAACAGACTAAGACAGGGAGAATCCATTCCCCTTCCTTTTCCAGCTTCTAGAGGATGCCCATACTCCTTGGCTTGTGGCCCCCTTTCTCCATCTTCAAAGCAAACAACAGAGGGCTGAAGACCTCTTATGCTGTCATCTTTCTGGTTCTCTGAAGACAGGAAAGGTTTTCCATATTTAAGGATTCATGTGATTAATGGGTCTATTTCAGTAATCGAGGATAATCTCCTTATCTCAAGGTCTTTAACTTTAATCACATCTGCAAAGTTCCTCTGCCATACAAGAGAACATATTCACAAGTTCCGGGGATTAGATATAGGCATCTTTGGGGGCCATTATTCTGTTTACCACAGGAACTTTGTGGTGAGAGGCAAAGGGAATGCACATCTCAGTTTGTCCACAGCAACCTCTAGTATGGAGTTAGAGTATTAGCATAGGCAAATTTAGATGCATGTATTTGCCCCCCCCCTCCAAAAAAAAAAAAAAAAGAGGGAGAACAACTTTAACAGTGCTAGAAATTGTATATGTGTGTGTATTTGCCGTGAGTGCTCTTTTACAGTAGGTGCTTACTTACATATGATATACAAAAAGATTTGTATACTATAATTTATGTACAGTTTAAGGGATAATCAAAGATTATTTTGACTGAACACAATTTTCATTTGAACCTAATCCTATATAAGATATGATCTCACCATACTGTGCTTCCAGATCTCACCATACTATGTTTCCAGAAAAATATGTTCCCCTGCCCCTCCCCTGCTTTTGTGTGCTATATTGAAGATGTTGGTGTTTTAGTAAAAAGCCTTAGTAAAAAGAAAAGGTCTGGTTGGGAAGATGCATCTGCCGACTGGGATCAGGCTTAAAAAGACTGGGTCACGGGTTTCCCTGGTGGCACAGTGGTTGAGAGTCCGCCTGCCGATGCAGGGCATACGGGTTCGTGCCCCGGTCCGGGAAGATCCCACATGCCGCAGAGCGACTGGGCCCGTGAGCCATGGCCGCTGAGCCTGCGCGTCCGGAGCCTGTGCTCCGCAATGGGGGAGGCCACAACAGTGAGAGGCCCGCGTACTGCAAAAAAAAAAAAAAAAAAAAACTGGGTCACTAGAGAACGTGGCTACATCTCTAAGTCCTTCCAGATTTGTCTATGTGCTGAATGTAAGATGGAGAGGAGAGAAAAACAGAAACGAGATTTTTAGCTAGAATTTTCTCAAATTTTTAATAGTATTTGAGTGTTTAGGTTTGTCTAGACATCACAAGAGAACTTTCCTGAGCTATTTCAAGATCCTTGCCAGTTCCAAAACTCAGGCCTCATACAGTGGGTACGTTCTTTTGCTTCGTAACTAAAAACGTCTCTTGAAATACCTTATAGTTTGCTGAAGTTCCATTACCTTTAGACATTACACACAAGTTCTTTTACGTTTAGATGTCTGATTTGAGACATTGAAGACTGAATATGAGTTAAGAGAAGCAGCTATATTACAGGTATTTTTTTCCTTTCTTCTCTTTCAGGTGAAGAGATTCAGCAACTGTGTCTTGAAATTATGGTGACCCAGGCTCAGTCATCCCAGAATGTAGCTGCACTGTTGGGAATATGGGTGATGCCACCACTGATCCATGGTCTGAGTGTATGTAGTAATTAAGGATGTTGAGCAACAGAAGGATATGGTTCTTTTGGGGGAGATCAACATTCATTTGTGTGTGAGCTCTCAAAGTCAAGAGTGGACAAATGGGATTTCACAGTGAGGACTTGACAATAGCTGGACAGCAAATTGGAAAATTGTGGGACACAGAACTCTGCCATAGCCATCACCATTCATGCTTTCAGCTACCATTTATTACAAGAAAAAGGGACAGTGATGATCAGAGATATTAAAATTCCTTTCTCAAGACCATACAGGTAGAAAGTTGTACAGTTATTGGAACCTGGGTTTGTTTATATGATATGCAGTCGTTTCAGTGGGTATTAAAAGAAAGGCAAATCCACACACACTGGATAAATTATCCCTCCCTTTCACAGAAAGGCAGCAATTAAGGCGAGCCTTGAAGGCTTGGTAGGATTTCATTAGGCATCAAGTTAGAGACACAAGGGAATATAAGTGGGAAGGTGTATGTGGAGAGAGTAGAACATCTCTGCCAATGGTGTTCAGCTTGAGTAAAGTGCTGAGGGAGAAGTGATCTAGCCTGGTATTTATGATAGAGGGGGCCAGCACCTTCCAGGGTATAGAGGGAGCCAGCACCTTCCAGGGCACCTTCTTACCTTCTAAGGGTAGGTAGGAAGAATAGGGTGAGATTATTTAAAGATGTATAATTTTGGGTACATTTCAAGGTAGAACCCCCCCAAAAAAACCACATTCCATGATTCCTTAGAGGTTTACCAATTAATTATAAGCTAAATGATCTCCTCTTTGTTATTCTTCTATTCTAGGAGGCATTAATTCTTTGAGGATAGTGCAAAACCCTCTTATTATTTCCTCAGTCTTTTGGCTTTAGTCTCTACTCTGTACTTTTTTTTAAGCTTTCCTACATCTCCTGATTCTTTTTAATTGAAGGTCAGTGTTATTGAGGTCTGCATCCTTTCCATCAGCTGTTATTACCTGTCTGCTCCAAACAGCTCCCATTTAGCTACCACTTAATGAGCACTTGTTATGTACCTGCTACTGGTAAGCACTCAATGAGTACTTTCAGACATCAGATTTAATCTCTCTTCAACCCTGACAGGCCAATTTTTTTTTTTTTACAGCTTTATTGAGTTATAATTTATATTCCATAAAATATGGCTATTTTAAGTGTATAATTTGATGAGTCTTAGTACATTTATATATTTTCATCCATCACCAATAATATTTCCATCACTCCAAAAAGTTCCATCGTGCCTACTTATAGTTAATCCCCACTCCCAATCTCAGACTCAGGCTACTACTGTTCTTTTTGTCTCTATAATTTTGCCTTCTTTAAGGAACTTTCATATAAATTTAAATTTCATATAAACTTTAGAAATTCTTTAGAATGGAATTGTACAGTATTATATCTTTTGTGTCTGGTTTATTTCACTTTTGAGAAGTAGATTTTATTTCCATTTTATAGGTTGATAAACTGAAGCAAATGGAGGTTAATCAAAGTTTACATATCAAATAAATGGAAGAGTCCGGCTGACTCAAAAGCCTGTGTCTTGAACACTGTTCTGTTAATGCTTCCTTCCTTTTGAATCATCTATAATTCTAACAGCCTGTTTTTTTGATCTCAGACATTTTTCTAGGTTTTAGTTATCCTTCCATTTCTCTTTTAGATCTGTCCTATTTCTTTTTTTTTTGCATTTGTCCTTGATTAGGAACCTTTCTTATTATCTTTGTTAATTAACAAATTAAGTTTGTAAATTCATTTTTTAAATTATGTACCTGCTCATTTAAAAAATGATCTGAAATGGCATGTTTTTTAACATGAAATCTGTAACTCACGAAGCTACATTGATCTTTTTTTGAAATTTACTGGTTTTTGTCAGATTTTATTTTTTAAAGCACTTCTTTTAGACTTGCTGCTCCTTTAGTATCATACTTAATGTTTCTAAGAATTTTTGAAGCCTGCTTTCTCAAAGTCTGTGGCTCACAGCTATCATTAACTATGCCCCTTCTTAGCTCTCCTGAACTCTTAAGATGCTATGGTCAGTTCCACATGCTCGGCTGGTTCTTCTTTGCTCAGAAATGGCCCCAGAATGCCAGTTCCCCTCATTATTTCTTTATTCTTCCTCAGAAGAAGAAATGAATAATAATAGATATTCTGTTTAGTTGATTTCCAGCAGTTGAGCCTTCATCTTCAGGAGCTTTTCTTGCCAGAGAATGTGACCTTTAAAGACTGAATAGCAACTTTCATGTTCTTTTAGAAGTAGCATTTTATTCCCCTCGCTGAAGAGATCCAAGGTTTAAGCTGAGTAGTTCACAGATGGATTGGCAGATACCATATATCCACACGAGTCACCCTGGATCAGAAGTCACCGCAGCCGCTAAAATTACATGCATCGGTGGTCCGTTAGACCATGAAGCTGTGGGGAAATGAGGGTCTAGGAAACAACCTGAACTTTTTATGTTTCACCTGAACCTTTTATCTTTCAAACACAGTGATGACCTAGAGGTTTTGAGCATATTACAAACCCAGACTTGCCTGTTTACATCTGACCTCTTCTGTTTTGCTTTCAGCTGAATATCAAGAAATACCTCCTGCTATCTGTGCCTTCGTGGATAAAACATGTCTCTGATGAACAGATCGTGGGTTTTGTTGAAAGCTTAATGGTGACAGTTTTTAAAGCAGCTTCCCCACTCTCCAAACCTGAGTTATGCCTGAGTGCCTTACAGGGTCTGAGCCAGGCCATGAAACAGCGCAGCCCTGCCTACCACCTCTGGAGTCTGCTCAGCAAAGCTACTGGGAAAATTTTTGACCTTCTGCCAAATAAGATTCGGGTGAGGAACAAAAATATTTACATTCCTGACAATTTATGTTTGGGATTTTTTAAAGCCTTTTGGCAAAGCAGGGAGGTGTATGTTTTAAGAATGTGGTGGGAAGGCTAGCAAGAAATAACCACATTCTTCACTAAGAATGTTTGCTTCCAAGATCTAAATTGAGGTTGAATATTTAGAACCAAAGTTTTGATCACGCTTAGAAGCAGGTTAACCAGTGTGGCACCAGGAAGTTTGCTCTTAGGCCTTTTACCAAATGCCTGTAGAAGATGAGCATGTTCAGAAATCCTTACACTTGGACTCCCCTGGTGGCACAGTGGTTAAGAATCCACCTGCCAACGTAGGGGACATGGGTTCGAACTCTGGCCCAGGAAGATCCCACATGCCGTGGAGCAACTAAGCCCTTATGCCACAACCACTGAGCCTGCACTCTGGAGCCCATGAGCCACAACTACTGAAGCCCACATGCCTAGAGCCCGTGCTCCGCAACAAGAGAAGCCACTGCAACGAAGAGTAGCCCCCGCTCGCTGCAACTAGAGAGAGCCCTGGCACAGCAAGAAAGACCCAACGGAGGCATAAATTTAAAAAATAAAAAAAAAAGAAACCCTTATACTTTACACCTGGGGAGTCCTTGGGCGTATTGTCTGACCACTATTTACATCAAGTGACTTAATACTAGCCTTGCCTCTCCCCCAACAGACTTCTGAAATGTAGTTGTACAAAGAAGTTAAAAATCCATTCAGAATGATGGGTTCTGATAAGAAGAAAAAAGTACAAACAAAATACACACAACAACAGGAAAGATTTTTTTTTTTAATTTATTTTATTTTTTGTGGTACGTGAGCCTCTCACTGTTGTGGCCTCTCCTGTTGCAGAGCACAGGCTCCAGACACACAGGCTCAGCGGCCATGGCTCACGGGCCCAGCCGCTCTGCGGCATGTGGGATCTTCCCGGACCGGGGCACGAACCCGTGTCCCCTGCATCGGCAGGTGGACTCTCAACCACTGCGCCACCAGGGAAGCCCAAAAGATGTTTTTTAAATGATAAAAATTGGTCACGAGCTTTGGCTTGGTTAAAATTAAAATCTCATCAGCTACTGTTTGTGGAGATAAGCAAATCTAATGATTTTGTCAGAACATTGAGAATATACGTGTTATTTTACACTGTATTTTGACATGCTTGGATTTTTCTTTACCAGAGAAATGATCTAGAGCTGTATATCAGTGTAGCAAAATGCCTCTCGGAAATGACAGACGATGAAGCCAATCGGGTTGCCCAGATTACTGAGGTAATAACATATCTATGTGTTTTTTTATTATTGAGGTGGAAAGTACAATTGAGGTGTACTCAATTGTATAGTATCCTTTTGGCTGAAGCTAGCTTTGCTTCGTATTTGTTTGTTACTGGCTAATTTCAGGAAACCATCTTTTTCACTGTGGGGTCTCATGTCCAGCCTAGTATGATTGGATATGTAGTAGTATATAAATGGATAGATGAATGAATAACTTTTTAACCTAATTAATCCCACTTTGTCAAGAACATTTTAGTGTTACTGATGAGCAAAAATAAGTACAAGACATCTTCAATACAAAATCCACAAGAATGGAAATATTCTGACCAAAGAACTTTCTGGTGCATGGAAGGCACATTTATTTTTCTTCACCTGATACTTATCCTTTTGGAATGAAGAAAGGTGGCTGATTGAAAAACAAACACTATTATCACTTACACAAGATAACAAGTACCTCTCAGACCCATACCAAATCAAAGGATGAATAAGCAAAAAGCAGCATAAGAGTAAAGTTGCCAGATTTAGAATATAATACAAGATACCTTGTTAAATTTGAATTGCAGATAAAAAATGAATAATTTTTTAAAGTAAGTACATCCCAACGGGACCTACTTATTCAAATGGCATCCCTGCATACCAGGTAATACCAAAGGTCTAGAGGACTGTGAGCCCTCACATCGTGGGTGGTCATCTTATCATTTATTTCACTATATGGCAGGTTGGCCTGTTAAGTTGAATCCTTGAATCCTCTGCATTGTATAGCTGTGATGCTCAAACTGTGGCCGACGGACCCACAACATCAGCCTGGCAAGTGATGAGAAATGAAAATTATGGAGTCTCACTCCAGACCTACTCGATCAGAAACCCTGGAGGGAGGCCCAGTGGTGTGTGTTTTAACAGTCCCTCCCGGTGATTGTGGTTCATCCTAAGGTTTGAGAAGCACTGTTAGAATATTTGGAATATCGGCCTTTTGGAGATTAGTTTGTTTTAAGCAAGGATAAGCGGTATAAGGAAATGCTTGAGAGAGTGGACTCTGGAGCCTCACTGCCCTGGTATGAAAGCCAGTCTCTCATTTACTAGCAATGTGACATTGGTGAAGTGTCATAATCTCTCTCTGCCTCGGTTTCCTGATCTATAAAAGGGAGATAATAGCGCCTACCTATTAGGGTTGTTTTGAGAGTTAAATGGCTTAATCCATGTTAAGTTGTTGGGCAAGTGCCCGACCCAAGGCAAATACTCAGTAATAACTTATTATCATAATTATTACGTTCATGTAATTTATTACAACTTGTTATATTCATGTTACATTGTTCGAAGTAATTAATATAATGTACTTTGGGGTACCTAGAGCTAAAAGTTGCTGTTATTCACTTGGGTTTCTAAAGTGCCATTCAGAAGATTGTCACTAGAACATTCTAAATCCTGTTCTGGTGTCCCCAAAAGAGTTAATGTGTTCCTCTGAGCCCTATGTTTTCTATTCATTTCTAAAAAGAACACAGGTAAGAAGAAGGTACAGGTGAAGAGCTCAGACTCCTTGGGTTTCAGCTCTTACTCTCTGTGGCAGTAAGCAAGTTGCCTAACTTCTGTGCTTCAGTCTCCTCATCTGTAAAGGAGGGATGATAATAGTAATCTATTGCTCAGTGTTAGAATTAAATGTGTAATTCAGTGGCCCTCAAACTTTTTGGTCTCGGGACTACGTTAGTGTCTTAAAAACTATTGAGGACTCCAAAGAGCTTTTATTTATGTGGATTATATCTGTCAATATTTACCATGTTAGAAATTAAAACTAGAAAAATTTTAAAATATTTACTTAAAAGTAATAATAATAAACCCATTGCATCTTAACATATGTAAGAAAAAACTATTTTCCAAAAAACAAATTAGTGAGAAAGTGGCATTGTTTTACATTTTTGTAAGTCTCTTGTCTGGCTTAATAGAAGACAGCTGGATTCTCACAGCTGCTGCTTCATTCAATCTGTTGTGATGTTGTTTGGGTGAAGTATGTGAAGAAAATTCAGTCTCACACAGATACGTAGATGGAATGGGGAAGAGTGTGTTAACAGTCTTTTCTGATAATTGGGGATGTCTTTCTTTGATACTGTACCAAAACTCAGCAAGTGTTGGTTTCTTATAGGTTAGTTGAAATGTGGAATCTGAAACCATATCAGTGAACTTCACATACTCTGTTACATTAAAATCCATTGGTCCATTGCACTCTGGGTCTTTTACCAATGCATGATTTTGTAAGAGATTATTGCAAGATTTGTAAGATATATTGGTCATTTGGAAAATACTGAGTCACTAAATTTTGAAAATCTTCCAAATGTTGGTACAATTCATTATAAAATATCAAAACATCACATTTGTCAGTATCACCAGCAACTTCATCAGAAAAGTCTTTTACGTATGGGCTACTAAAGTCATAGTAGCAGATACAGATTTTCCAAAAATCTAATTTTCACTTAAAAGCTCACATTGTATCATTGGCAATAAATACTGTCAAGTATTTTCCTTGAAGTGACAGTCTTACTTCCTTCACTTTTAAAAAATAATCAAATACTCAGTTGTCATAACCGTAGTTTGTCCATCAATTATTCTTTTCAACTAAATGGCGTTCCATGAGTAGAGTGGCTATTTCAGCTCACAACTCATTCTCACAACTTTCTCCTTGAGATGACCATCACACTTGGGGATGCAGCACAAGTCTTTTATGCATACTTCCCATTTGGTCATACAGAATATTACAAAGATGTACTCAAGGGCAGAGGTTTAACAAAACTAGTAATTTTTATTGTTTAAAGGATATTTTAAATGAAACTAGCTTTTTAAAAAATTGCAAGTGTCAGTGAAAAATACAATGAACATTACTATGTTATTATGAATAATAATATTCTTATTATGAATATAGTTTGACCTCACAGACCCTCTAAAAGGGTCTTGGGGTGCCCCATAGGTCTGTGTACCACACTTTGTGAAGTGCCAAATTAACACAGGTTAAGTGCTTAGAATGGTGCCTAGCACATAAGTACTGTATTTGTTAGTTATCATTATTATTATTTGTGTATCTTTACTAAATATCCTCACCAATTAACCCCTGAAATCATTTATGGTTTTTATGAGAAAACAGGAGGTGACATTACAACCATCTGTCTGTAGGTACATTTTAAGATAGCATGCAGACAGCTAGGTCACACAGTGCAGGAAATGAACAGTTTTAGTATTTGGAATGGTAATCAACTTCAAACACACCCTTTCTCTTTTGCCCGTGCCCCGAGGTCCTATAACAATTTCAGTTAATTTAATAGTAACTGAGCAATTTGCTTTTTTGCAGAACAGCCTAGAAAAGGCTGCCTTTGTCAGACTATACTTGGTCTCTCAAGGACGATTCCCCTTGATGGGCTTGACTGATGTGCTCAGTGTTGCTATTCGGCACCATGAAAAAGACACACTGGCCTGGATGATACTGCACAGCTTATACCAGGCACGGATTGTGAGCCACGCCAACACCGGTAAGGGCAGCTGGAGGCGAACATCAGGAACAGAAAGATGTACCTACCATCTTTTAGGTTGTAATTGTTTCCTCAACTTAACTAGTTTAGTGCTTCTTGACACAGGCGAGGCCTTGTTACCCCAAATGAGTAGCACCTTGGATAGAAACCAGCAGTTACAGCTCACAACATCAACTCTTTGGAGGTGGGAATGAATTCTACTGGTGACTTTTGTCTTTGACCCTCCAGGCCCTCAGAGACATAAACAAGTTTATCAGGTTGATTCTGCCTGCTTCCTTTCTCAAGCAGATGGATGCTGATGGATTCTTCCTGATGTTTTCATGAAAACGGCTTTTGGGTGGTCATTTTACAAAGAGAAAAAGAAAGCAGCAACAACAAATTAGTTATTCTATAGAAGAAGTTCTCAGGAATGAGAAGAATAAAATCTGGACACCCTTACTACATCCTCAAGCCAGAAGCTGCAGGCATGAAGCTCTGCTAATGAATGGTGCAACTTTTAGACCATTTTAGACATTTATACTTTAATAATCATCTAAAGAGGGAGCTCCCTCATTTCTCCTCCATGCCTTTGGTCATATGCTTATAATTTCTCAAGTCTACATTCAGGTCCTGAAGGCATCTGGCTTCAGCAGATCAGACGTGGCTGGGAAGCCCTTGTGACCCATCATCCCCATCTCTTGTACCTTGAAGGCTTTGAGAGAAAACTGACAAATACAATTGTAATACTCTTTGCAAGACTGTGTAGGAAATTTTGATTCATTCTCCTCTTTGGCAACTGAGAGAGTTGTCTCATGTCCACAGTAGCGCCAGCCCAGTGAAAAGTGAACCTGTGATGAGAAATGAGATTTTTTATTCTAACTCAAAAGTGTATTTATCAGGCAGAAAACTAGCAGGTACTCCCTATTAAGCATGAAGATACATGAAGGAAACAAATGTGATATTGCCTTTGGTCCTAACTAGCTGGCGTTCAAATTTAGTTACCATTTTCCTCTCATGCACTAAATTTTAAGATGTTTCCAAGTAATCTCTGCTGTGCTGAAAATCCTCATTTTTTTAAAGGAAAAATTAATATTTATGTTGATGTTTGTTCTCCAGTTAGCCTGTAATAGCTGGGTTTTGTTTTTTGTTGTTTGTTTTTAATGTCTTTAGGATAGGTATTCTCTATTTTTGCATAAATTGGGAATATTTAAGCAAGGGAGGACTATAAAAACAACTAGTTATCAAAGATTTAACACTACTAACTAGTTGGCATGCCCAGTTTCTCCTAGTGTGTTTCATGTTGAGCAACTCCAACAAATGCATTTCACCATTTTATCACAGATTTGAAGAATAAATTAGCTTTTAAAAATAAAGACCAAAATATGGTCATCTGATGTGAATAGTATCAAAAACTCTCTCATGGGTTAGCACAAGTCTCAGGTACCATAAAAGGACTTGAAACTGTCGCACAGAGTCCTCGGTGGGTGTTCTGCTTTAGTTATGATGGTAATCGCTGATGGTCTGGTAAGAAATATCCTTTTGTTTCAGGCTTGTTGAAGAGAATGGAGTGGCTCTTGGAACTGATGGGTTATATCAGAAATGTTGCTTACCAGTCAGCGTCTGTTCAGAATGTGGCTCTTAACGAGGTAAAATGTAGAGGAGTCATTTGTGGCTTCCTTAAAATATAGAGGATATTTACTCTACCAAAAGAGGCACATGTTGCTGCTTGCAGCTTTCTTTCCTTCCTTCCTTTTATTTTTGGGAAACAAGGATGACGATTATCTGACGTCACAAGGAAACGGATGTTCTTACCAGGCTTTAGGAGATGCCCATGGCTGCCCTTTGAAAAATATTTTCAACAGAACACGTTCCTTGACAGGCAGTACACAAAGGATTCTAGCTGGAGGGGGAAACTGGGATCCTGTGTACTTGGGCTGGACCCCACAAAGACTGGGGTACAGGGCTCTGGCCTCCGCACTGGCCCAGAGCACGGCTTCAAACACCTGGTTTGGAGGGGTTCTTGAAGTGTATGCAAGTAATCTGTTTGTGCCAATACTTAACATGCATATATTGGAGGGAAATTTTCACCCACCTGCAAAATGACCTATGACCCAAAAAAGGTTAACCACCACTAGTACTGGGTGAGTAAAACAAAAAAAGATTAAAAAATGAAGGACAGCACTTTCCTACTCTCCTCATTTTCTTGACTCAGCTGCCCAACATGCATTTTATTTTAGTATTTTTCCATAGCCATGTTTCATGGGTCTCCTGTTTGCTGTGTGAGCAAAATATGCATAACCTGGGATGTTGTTTGATATTCTGCCCAGCTCTTCTGCAGAGTTGTATGTCTTTTTGAAATTTTCATTAGTGAGATTAGGCATTTTAAGAGATTGAGGGGGTACTTAAAAAAAATTTTTTTTGAGTTAGCATAATCTTTCCTCTCTTTATTCTGATTTCCAGTTTGTATTAACCTTCTCTCCTTTCTTACAAAATCTTTTGAAACTTAGAAAATACAGATAAACAGAAAGAAGAAGAATTTAAATCACAGTAGTACAGTAACTCAGAGGTAGCCCTTGTTACCACCATTTCTACAAGTGTCTAGATTAGACTATAAAATCTAAATGCATGGATTCTAAACATTTTTTTTAATGCATGTGGAGAGTCACTTGTTTCTGTTTAAAAACAGAATACACTATACATATTTTTGAAAATCAGTTTTGGCCACATAATAAACCTAAATATCCCTGTCTGTATCTCTCTTAATTAATTTTTAAATCTCTTTGAAAACACCAAAACAGAGGAATGTTTGGATCTCAGTATGATTAGGTGTTAAATAAATTATGTTTCTCTTGAAATGTTAGAACGCTAATAATGAAACTATTGGGCCTTCTGTCCTCACAAAAGAGGATCCTTCAAACCTTCTGAAACCCCAAAATGCCTCTTCATTAAGCATGGAAATAGTTTGCTATTCGGTCCAGTCCCTCTTCTGGGGTAGGGGTGGGGCAGGCAGAAGGTTTGAGTGAAGGGGAAGATAACATCGCTTCATGATGGGGGCTGTGTATGTGAACATGTGTTACTTTGCATTGTTAAAGCATGTGACCTGACCTTGTTCCTATTTCTACTGTAGGCTTTGGATTTCTTGTTGCTGATATTTGCAGCAGCAGTGGTTGCATGGGCAGACCATGCTGCCCCTCTGCTCCTTGGCCTCAGTGCCAGTTGGTTGCCATGGCATCAGGAAAATGGTCCAGCTGGGCCAGCATCAAGGTTCCTTGGCAGAAGTCCCTTGCACAGGGTCACTGTGCAGGAGGCTGTCACTCTCCTTCCCAGTAGCATGCCTCTTCTGCTGCAGAAAGAGCCATGGAAGGAACAGACCCAGAAGGTGAGGTTGGCAGCCACCTGCTTGTCAGGGCAGGCGGCCATTTTCTCTCCAGCAGTTTCTGCTGTAGAATTGAGGTGGGAGTTAAGTGAAACCTGAGTCACACTACAGGCTTTCCTAGTCAGCCTCAAATCTCAGCCAGATGCAGAGCCTCAGAGATTGAGGCTAGCCCAGGCTCAGGGTAACCGCTGACTAAAAACAACAGTGACAACAGCAACAACTTGCTCACAGTTAGGGGTGAAGTGGAAAGAAAAGCTTATACTTGCCTTCATTTATTGAAGACACATGTGTTCTTGATCCTGGGGATAAAAGGATGAATAAGTCTCTGAGAGCTCAGAATTTCAGAGTGAGGACAGACAGGAAGGCTAGTTCAAGGTTGCAAGATGGTATAAGGATACAGTGGTGATGAGCAGGGGAGGGGGGTGATCAACAATGTCTGGGGATGGGTCCAGGAAATCCTCCAGGGAGATGCGAATCTGGAGTATCCATCTTTTGCCATATTTAAGGTTCCCCACAGCTCATTCCATGCGATAGGTGTGTTCCAGGTGCCTCTGGCCTGTGTGAGATACCGTGGGGAGATTTGTAAAAGCCTAATGTCATCACCTTTGCCCTCAGAAAAACCCAAACTATAGGAAGTACCTTTTGGTTTTTAATACTGAGTTTCCCCAGGTTACTAGCTGTCGTGAAGAGCATATGAAAATACGGTACATCCTTTCTCATTACGTGGCTCTGACCTGTCTTGAATCGTTGACTGCAAGATATTTTTGAATCCCATTTAATCAAAACTGGATTTTTACGAGGTTGAAAGCTTAAAGCCAACTTTGTGTGGCTTAATCTTAAAATCTGAACATTAATCTGTAAAAATATTTCTGAGCTGTGGACCCACAGTTTAGCCATGAACTTCACTGAGCATCTCAATTAAAATGCCTTTGTTTTCTTAAACCTGATAAGCATTAGTATTATTATCCCAAATTTTATGTTTTCTTTTTCATTTTAAATGAAAATAAATTTAAATGTGGTATCCTATCCCCTTATTTCTGGCCTGGGACACCCTGTTCATTTTGGACTACAGTATAGACACCCTGCATCTATTATGTATTTGTAGTACCTGATTTATTTACTTACCAGTAGGATATGATAAAACAAAATTGAGGAAAAGAAAATAAAGAAAAAGTTTTAATTAAAGCAGGGAATTAGGAATATTTTCTTTTTTTAGTCCAAAGTTAAAAATCCTAGTACCTACAACTAGTATATGTGTTTTTCAATGAGTCGAGATTGGCAACATTCAGTCAACGAAATTATCCGGTATCTAATTCAAAAACAATTTTGGCTGCACCTGGGAGAACAGTCAAACTCATGAGTACTATGAGTTTCTACCTCATCTGCAGGATTTATTTGCAGCTAATACGCTTGGGTCTACCTAGTAAATTGTTTTATGCCTTTTCTCTTGCATTTCAACTTTGCTTCATATCCATTTGGGCACATATTGTTCTTAGCCACAGAAACATATTTTACATCTGATGTGTTTCCCCATTTACCACCCCACCTAGGAGCCTAGGCCTGATGCACACAGAACCAGGTGGCAGGCAGCATGATGTGAAGGAGGAGTGTGAGGCTTTGAAGCCAGGTGCACATGCGTTCAGATCTTGACTGTGCCATTCATTGGGAGTGGACTTGGGCAAGGTTCTTAGCCTCTCTGGGGCCTCTAAGAGTGATGAGATGGAATGTTCATGGCACACAGGAGGCCCTCTGGGCCCATGCCTACCCCACTCTTAAAAGCTACAGCAAGTCCCAGGGTAATCAGCAAAGGAAGGAGGTTTGACTTTGCTGGGTCATTTAACTAAATGAGAGCCATTTCCAACTTTCCCATCTCTTGTGTCTGGCCCCATCTCCGCTCCACTCTCCCAGCCCAGGCAGGTATTGTCCAAGGACTACTGCCCTGGTACTCATATGTGCAGGCCCAAGGGTTTGAATGATGTCTTACTGATAGATTGTTTTCACTGATACCATTCTTCATTTTTACTCTAGTTCATTGACTGGCTATTCAGCATCATGGAAAGCCCTAAAGAAGGCCTCTCAGCAAAGTCCAGGAATCTTTTAAAAGGTATCACTTCTGCGCTTTATGCCCATCCAGTGTTGTCTGTGCTGCAGAACAGCATCCTAGCGTATGTTGGCTCCTGAAAGGGCTTGTCTTGGTTCAGTTTAGAGAAGTAATATGAAGCTGTCACCAGTGTGGCATTCTTGAATTGGAAAGTGGTTAAAAAAGTTGCATTGCCTTTAGATTTAATTTTTATTTAAATGGTTTTTAAATGTTTTATTATAATCATAAAATACGACTTAAAATTTAAAAATTCAGAAAAGTAAAAATAAGCAAATAAGAATCCAGAATCCCACTGCCCAATGACAATTTTGATTGTTTTTCCTAAGTTTTTGCTCCGTGTATGAGTATTAACGTTTTTCTAATCAGAGCCAATTGAAAAATGTACGTACACACTTTGAATACTGCCTTTTATACTTTAAAATTATTTTAAAAGCATTTTTTTTTTTTTTTTTGTGATACGTGGGCCTCTGACTGTTGTGGCCTCTCCCATTGCGGAGCACAGGCTCCGGACGCGCAGGCTCAGCAGCCACGGCTCACGGGCCCAGCCGCTTTGCGGCATGTGGGATCTTCCCAGACTGGGGCACGAACCCGTGTCCCCTGCATCGGCAGGTGGACTCTCAACCACTGCACCACCAGGGAAGCTCTTAAAATCATTTTAACCCATTCTTACATTGGCTTCGTAAGTATTTTTAATGGCTGCATAGTATTTTGCCAAGGGAATTGGACATTTTCCATGCTTCCAGGTATTTAGATGATTTTCATGTTTTTTATACATCTCTACTGACTGTTAAACTATGACTGTGGGATCCACAAATATAGATGATCTTTCTGTGAAAATTATGTAGATGTTTTTACTCAAATCTGAAAAGTCTTCTGGGCATTGGCTCTGTGGTCCAAGACAGCTTGTACTGTCATTCACATCTTGAGACTTGGGGGTTTGGATCCTACCAGTGGCTGCTGTTGATGCCCCTGACATGCTGTAAGCTACTGCACTGAAGAGTCTCACCTTGGGAAAGTTGCCTGCTGGCCTACTCTTGTGATAATTGACCATATTTTGCTTTAAGTATGGTATAATCTATTGATTGCCTAACAAGCAAGAATTATCTAATGTGTTGGTTCTTGTCCTTCTCCCTACCTCCAAAGTAGGTGGGAAGGCCTGTGTAGGACAGTGATTCTGATCAACCACAGAACTTCACTGAGGATCAGGGCAGTGGTCTGACATATTTTCACTTGACCATTCCCTAGAGACTTGCTGCTAGGATTTCCTCCATTTATTTTCCTTGAGGAGTTTGGACTAATTTTTAATGGCCATGGGTCTATAATTCCATTGGTTGTTCCCAACATATACTGTCTTAGGTCATGAAGATACTAATTGATTCCGACGAGGAAAATAGTTATTTGGGTCAAAGAAGTACATATTCACTTGATCGTGTATTCAAGGGCTTACTAGAGTCACACACAATTATTATGTAGCTCTGGCTTACCCTCATTCCCTCACACTATTATATTTTTTTTAAATCTCAATATATTTACATTAGTATTCTAAAATAAGATATGTAATAAGTTACCTAGAGGGGTTATATGTAACTTCCCTACTTTAAATCGATCTTTGAGGGACCCATGACAGCTAAGGTGTGTGTTCAAATATAGTTTAGTACAGTCATACTTGCTCCATTGAGCCCATGAACCTAACTTCATTACAGAATCAGGTTTTTTGTCTTTGTTTACCTTATTTTTAAAAAAAAATTATTTTTGGCTGCATTGGGTCTTCGTTGCTGTGCGTGGGTTTTCTCTACTTGTGGTGAGCGGGGGCTACTCTTCATTGAGCTGTGCAGGCTTCTCACTGCGGTGGCTTTTCTTGTTGCAGAAGCACGGGGGTATAGGTGCGTGGGCTCAGGAGTTGTGGCGCACGGGCTTAGTTGCTCCGCGGCATGTGGGATCTTCCTGGACCAGGGCTTGAACCCGTGTCCCCTGCGTTGGCAGGGGGATTCTTAACCACTGCACCACCAGGGAAGCCCTGTTTACCTTTCAATTAAACTTTTTTAGTGGAAAAGTTTTATTCATGTAGAAAAGCGCACAAGTAGATTTTTACAAAGGGAACATACCTATGTAATCAGCACCCAGATGAAGAAAAAGAGCATTGCCAGCATCCCAGAAGTCAGTTTTTGTTTTAATTATGCAGAATTTCCCACTAACTGGTTTGAAGGTAACTTAAAAAAAAAAAAAGAAACCTTTCCTCAACCTTTATTAATCATTTTCTTCCATTAAAATTCTAAGGCTTGATAGGAATTCTTAATGATTAGCTGAGTGAGAACAAGCCAAGTTCTAATGACACCTTTTTGATCTAAATGACTTTTTCAAATGCAACTCCACCAAATGCAACAGTGCACTTTATTTTTTGTCCCCTTAGCCACCCTGCTGTCCTTGAGAGTTCTCCCAGAGTTTACGAAGAAAGCTGTATGGACCAGAGCGTATGGTTGGTAAACAGTTTTGCAGTAGCCAGCAGTATTCTCAGCTGGATGAGGAAAACCATACAGACAGAAGGAATTTTTCAGAATTCGTGTCTCGGCTGACTGAGATGATGCAGAGAGCTGAAGGTCATGAAAGGGTGGCCACACAACCGACAGCTTGAACCGTGCACGCCAGGACAGGGGCCACTGCTTCAGTACCCAGGCCATTTGAGACTGAAACCAGAACTTGGATTTTCTTTTATTTGGCTAGAGTTCAATCTAAAGATTTTTTGTGAAAATCTAATTATATCATCTCCCCACTAAATTCTAGTAAAATAATCCTGTGAATTTTGTGCATGTGACTTTTGTTTTAAGGCATGGGGAAGGTTTTGCTAGCAAAACCAAACTATAGCAGTGACAGTGGAATCTGATGTTTCCCATGAAGTCTCCAGAGGATATTCATTGACTCAGTAAGTTAGACATGTTTTCTTACTCTTATTGCTAAAACACTCTCTTGGAACTGCTATACGCATTTAAATAATAAGCATGGTGTTAAACACTGCTAAATCAGACTTGTAAGTGGTGACTATAATTTTTTTATGCTTGAGTCTCTTGAATGCAAGTGAAAGTTACCCAATTCAAAATAAGGAGGGGAAGGTGTCTTTGCTCATAGGTATGGTGGAAGCAACATGGGGTGGACTCTGATTCAACTTGAGTCATGTGAGTCCTTGGGTGGGGTGGGGAGGGTTCTACTTGATCAGGCCGGGGTCACATATCCGTCCACCTGAACTGGGTTCCCCCAGAAGAAGGGTGATTGATAGGATGCTAAGCAAGCAAAAAATGGCAAATATCTCCTCCAAACATCGATCTTTTTTTTTTATAAGTACAAACCTCTGTCTTAATCAGGGTGACTGGTGGCCTAATGCCAAGTAAATGAAGGAAAGTGACAGCATCCTCAAGGGTTGCATTTTACTCAGGGGCTTAGAATCAGCCAGGAATTTAATTTGCTCTGATTGCTAATTATTGTTCCTTCATGCAGCCATTAATCAGGGCTGTCCTTAGCCAATCATACAAACATACTGATGTATACGTATATGGGATTACTGGGGAGAAAAATGTGTGCCACTGGAATAATATACCTTCGTGCTTATCATGTCACAGCAGTGTCATGGAACTTTTAGTATTCCTGTGTGGCATGTACAATACCTTCATGTTGTCACCAAGCATATCTACCACTTAAGTTAAAAATAGCTCTACTAATTTTATTTTCCAAATATATGGATTTATGATTCCAGGTTCCAAATATTTGTGGTTCACTGCATAATTCACACTGTTTCCAGGTCACAGCTCTTTCTTTTGCTGAACTCCATAGGGTGCAGAGATGCTTACAGAAAAGGAGGAAAGGAAGGCGAGCTCTCAGGTAGTACTTAACTACATCATCAAGTATTTCATCTCTATTATTTCTTTAGAGGCTGAGCTGGAGGGAAATGAGTTTGGAGGAAGCAGAAGTGTAGAAAATTTACGTGAGAAGCCAGCTTCTGTCTCCTTCCCACCCACCGTGGCTTTCTCATACTACCTACCAATGAGATGTTGACATTCTTCTAACACTTATTACACTAGTTGTCAGACTAAATAAGTAACTAGAGTTTCACTTGTATTATCTTATTTAACCCTTGCAACAATACTGTGAAGAGGCATTATTTTCTATTTTTAAATGAAGAAAACACATCTAATAAGTGGCAGAGCTACTAGACCTGGAACCAAGGTCCTAGAACCCCAGGTCCAATGCTCTTTCTACTGCATCAGGCTCATCAGCACCCACTTTCAGATGAAAACTCCTACCAAGTATTAAGCCTCATTCATGCTTAATATAGATTGCTGGAATCAGATAAAAGAAACACCCCTGCCTCATATTAATAAGCCTCTGGAATTGGGAAGTTGGGAGTTACAGTGTAAAGGAGCAGGTCTTCATGGGTTGAAGGACATTACATTCCCGGGCCAGCTAGCAGATATGGACGGCAGTAAAGAATAGGGAAGAGGAAATGGGCACTGAAGAACTACTCTCACATTTCCCCCCAAATCAGTGGGCAGACTTGCTGATGCTCAAGGAGAGGGATAAAGAATCAGCCCAGCCTTCCAGACCCAGATTGCCTTTTTCAGTTTGGCCCAGTTTCTTCTCAGTCAGACTTTGTCATTGCTCCTGCCTTGACAAGAAAACAGAATAGTACAAAAGGGAGGAAATAAGATCTACCTGTATCCTCTCTTCCCTAGCTCCCTCTTTTTGTTTTCAGCAGTCTTGCCTTTAAGCGTCAGAGGATTTTCCTATTCATAGGATTTTCCTATTCATTCCTATTCATTTGGACCCCATAAAGAGTCCAAAATGTCAAAATCTAAATTTGAAGCTGTAAAGGTTCTAAACTCTAATTATTCTAAGATGTAGGTAACTGGCATAATAAGACCCTTTCTCCTGGTTACCTGAGCTCCAGTAAGAATTAAGATATTCCCTTGGGATATTTCAGTTTGTTCTCCAGAAACCAGAAGTCTCTGCTTTTTTGAGACCAGACATTCCAAACTATATACAAAAGGAAAAGTTTCCTTATAAGTCATCTTCTGTTAGTTTTTGAAATCACAAGTTGCCAAGACAAATAGCATGCTAGGGTATACTAACAAATCAATGTGTGGGATTAAGGCTATGTTGTGTGTCTCAGATGTGTCCAAACACTGTGACTCTTCACTTGAAGAGTGTACATTTGGAACAGATGTTGAGATCCATGCAAGTGCCTAAAATCTATGTGCTTTATTTGTAATGTAATGGCTCCATGGTAACCAAGAGGCTGTTAATCACTGTTTTTTTTTTGAAGTTAATTTGCCACAAGTTAACTTCTCCAGAATGATTTTAACCAAAGATGATATTATAATAATATAAGGAGTAAAACTTTAAGGACTTAACTACTGTCTTGAAACATCTTAGTCACTTTGAAAGTAAGCAGTAGTTTTAGATTTTTGGTAAACATTTTAGCAAATTGCTGTTTTAGAAGAGAAATCTGACCATGTGGTTAAGAGGATGGGGCCTTCATTAAGGCCAGAGCTGTAAGCTGGGTCTTTAGGTCTCTGACCTCAACCAGCCTATTCATAGCTACAGGCATTTCAAATGGAACCAGAGGACAGAATGTGGCTGGGACAGTTCATATCCTTCACCACTCTTATGGAAAGATACCTCACAGCATCATCTTCAGGTATAAATGTATATCATCACTGCTCTGGTGCTGGATATATGCTTTTATATTTTCTGGAAGGAAACACTTTATTCTAATCCTAGAAACTTTAAAGTCTCATCTTTTTAATGTATGACACACAAAATATTTATGAAGTTGTGAAATAATGTTCCAGCCAAACTACTAGAAATGGAACAGCCAAACTATTAGAAATGGAACTGAATAAAAATGACATTGATGACTCCCTGACTTTGGTTTTATTTTTTGTATGAAAGAAATAACCCACCTAACAAAGTAGTTGTGAGAGTTTAAAGAATAAAGAAATATGCTGTATAAATTCTAAAATGTAAAAGAAATGCTTTCACTTTTGTATGTTTCACTAACAATAAATAGTAGCTATAATGCTTGAAACAGGCCTGACAAACATGTATGTCAGGATTTGGGAAGATAATGGAAATTTCTTAAGTAAAAAAATATTATCTACATCCTAGAAGCAAGTAGCACATTAAGGAAAGATATTTATGTAAGTTTTTTAAAAAAAAACTCTATATGTGTCTTCTGAACATGAAGCACCCTTTGAGATAAATCCAAAATAACTGAAACATCACCTAGTTAATCTGATATATTTCTTATAGTTTTTTTTTTTCTGGATGTAGTAGTAGTAATCCCTAAAGTCAGAGTTGCACAACAACTCTGAGTGTCTACTATGTACCACCATACAAGGTTCTGGGGTACAAAGTAAACAAGACATGACATTCCTGCCCTTGTGGAGCTTACATTCAGAAAATATAAATCAGTAAACCATCATGTAATAAAGAAAAGCATTCCTACTTCTGTATGGCCCTTTATAATTTACAGAGGTTTACTTTACCATATTTCATTTGCTCTTCACAACAGCCTTGGGCAATTAAGTAAACTGGGACTCAGAGTCATTCAGTTAGGAAATACTGGGGCTGGAGTTGAAATCAAAGCCAGCATTCTTGAGGGGACTGCACAGGATGGTGGAGTAGAAAGGCCCTGAGCTCTCCTCCTCTCACAGGCACACCAAAATTACAACTATGTGCAGAACACCCATTGATGAAAAAGACCAGAACATACCAAAAAAGATCTTTTACAACTAAATATATCAAGAAGGAACCACAATGAGATGAGTAGGGGTAGCAGAATTGTGATATAGTCAAATCTCATAACCCCAGGTGGATGATCCACAAACAGGAGAATAATAACAATTGCAGAGTTTCCCCCAAAGGAGTGAGCTCCCTAGCCCGGGAGTCCTGCACCGGGAAGAAAAGCCCCCAGAGCATTTGGCTTTGAAGGTCAGCAGGGCTTACTTTCAGGAGTCCCAGAGGGCTGAGGGAAATAAAGACTTCACCCTTTAGGGGCTTACACAAAATCTGACACCCTCCTCGACCCAGGGTGGAGGCAAGTAATTTGAGAGGAGCCTGGGTCAAACCTACCTACTAATCTTGGAGAGCCTTGCAGAAAGGCAGTAGGCAACTGCAGCTCACCCTGGGGACATAGACACTGTAGGCAGCCATTTGTGGGAACTCCTTCTACCATGTGGACACTGGTGCTGGCAGGCACCACTGTGGAATCCTCCCTCCAGCTTATTAGCTCCAGGACCCACCCCACCCATGTCCAATAGTCTGTACACACCAGTGCTGAGACACCTCAGGCCAAGTAAATAACAAAAACATGGTGGTCCAAAACCTGTTGGATGCATCAAAAGTAGCTCTAACAGGGAAGTCTATAACAATACAATCTTACCTGAGGAAACAAGAAAAATCTCAAACAATCTAACCTTACACCTAAAGCAACTAGAGAAAGAACAAACAAAACCCAAACTTAGTAGAAGGAAAGAAATCATAGAGATCAGAGCAGAAATAAATGAATTACAGATGAAGAAAACAATGGAAAAGATCAATGAAACTAAAAGCTGGTTCTTTGAGACGATAAACAAAATTGAAAAACCTTTAGCTAGACTCATCAAGAAAAAAAGGGAGAGGATACAAATCAATAAAATTAGAAATGAAAAAGAAGTAAAAACTGACACCACAAAAACACAAAGGACCATAAGATACTACTACAAACAACTATATGCCAATAAAATGGACAACCTTGGGCTTCCCTGGTGGCGC